CAGCAAACTTAAAGATTTATTAACATTATCAGTTAAAGAAACAGAATTAACCTAATAGATCAAGAGAATATTTTAAAAATATTACAGATACATTCCTTGCTTTTATTAGTGATGAAAAATAAGTGTAAGTTTCATATCACTTCTTTTCTAGATTTATTATCTAGGATAGATTTGGATGAACTAATGAAAAAGGATGAACCACCTCTTGATTTTCCTGATACCCTGGAAGGATTTGAATATGCTTTTAATGAAAGTAAGTGGTATAGATCATATACAGAATTTAACAGTGTTAAATCATAGGATATATTTTATTTGCTACTCTCAAAGTATAGCTAGAGTGTTTTTGTTGAGAAATAACGACTTATGCTTGCATGGTGACATCCTTCACTCAAGTGAAAGAACCAAGGATCAATTTTCTGTAGTTGTCAAGTCACATGAATTGATAGACGTGAATTTCATTTAGTTTATATATTTCAACCTTGAGCATTCAGTTGTTTGATATATACCTGGAAACTTCTAATTAAACTATATAGAAAGATACTACCCTTTCACCTGCTATTTAAAATGAGGTTTCTGGCAGTCATTATCTGAGACAGTATTTTAAAGCAGAGAACCCAGTTTTCCATGATTTTTCAGGGAAATCTTTATTTAAAATCTTTTCAAGTTCAGAATTAAATAACTTTTATACCTGAGTTGTGGAAAAAGGCACCATGCAGTCACCATTCACTGTTACACTTGGAGGCCATTGTTAGTTATAAGGCAGGTACCATTCTACTTGTTGCTTTGTGTCAACTGAGTTAGTGATCTGTCACCACTGTATCAGATCTTCCTTCTTTGTGCACTCGCATGGTAAATGGATTTAGACAGAAGATGTTTCAGATATTGTTATATTTTTATAAAGAATATTTTGTGACAAAACATGTATAAGCAGTAATGTTTTGTTGCTTATTGGGGGAAAGGGTTAAAACAATTAGAGTGTGGTTTGTTTCTCTCCTCATTACTTGAATATTCCTGAGGAAAGAAAGAGGACAGATGGCCTGTCTTTTCTCATTGTAAATATGCCAATAATTAAACCTTTTAGTAACATACTAGTATTTGCTATGAGGAGAGTCTTTACTTATGGAATACTGTGAGCTGGATGGTTGATTTAGGATTTCTCACAGTGAACAAACTTACTCTTTGGTGTATGAGGTGTATTTCTCTAAAGAATGTGATACAGTGTTTTAATTGTTTCTGCACACAAAATGGAGATAGTTTATAATGGTAATGCTTATTGGTGTGTGAGGAGCCCTGTATGCCTCATTTGTACCCTACCTGCTCTGGATCAGTGAATCTTGTCTAGTCAGATAGAAGGATGGGTGGACTTCCTTGTTCCCCCTACTTTACCTCTACAGCCAGATTTGCAGGTCCTAGAATTGTTAGTAAAGAGTAATCTTAATCAGTGAAGTCCTAGGATTTGATAGTCTAAATCTGTGTTAGCTTGCCTCTTCTCTCCAATTTCAATTGATACCTTACCATATCTCAGGGCCTCCTTGAAAAATGTCACTGAAACTTTCAGAGCTATATTACTAGCCCCATAGCACTTTCTCCTTTTTTCCAAATCATTCTAGACCTTATTAAAGATATGTATAAGTCACCTGTGGCAGATTTTAAATTGCTAATTGACTTTGATTCTTGTCTAAGTTTCTGAAACATTGTTTATGCTTTTGTTACCCAGGTAGCCTCCAAGCTCCTTCAAGACTGGGGCCATGTTCATCTCATTATCTGGTAGCAATTCGTACTCATAATAGCCTTCCAACAGTGCCACTTTACTTTGAAATAGTGAAATGAAGATCAAGAATAGCTTATATGTTCCCAGGGACCATTCTTTCATATAGTTGATAGCTTTATTTCATATTGATATTTGAAGGCACAAATTTAGGGAAAAAGTAAATATCTGAGAAAGTTAAAAATTTTATCAGACAACTATTGTACTTCCCATATTATTTAAAATGTACTCTTAAATCATTGAAATATTGTTTGTTGTCTTCTAGAGGGGCAGTTAAGGCACATCAAAACTGGGGAACCATTTGTTTTTAACTACCGAGAAGACTTACACAGATGGAACCAGAAAAGATATGAAGCTCTGGGAGAGGTAGGTCATTGACATTCCATCGGTTGCTCTCCAGGTGAAGGCCCTGGGAATAGAGGTCCGAAGGCACAGCAGCTCACACACTCTTCCTGCTAAAGTGATTCTAAACTGTTTGCTTCTCTGTGTTGATTATTTTTAGTGGTAGATTGTAAGTATATTCTTAATTTGAAATCTTCTGCTTTCATACAAACATATCTTTCCCATGATTTTAGTATTTTGTTGTGAGTCATTTATATGGATAAACAAATTCATGCTACATTTTAACTTTTATTGATTTTCTTTTTTATGTTGATTTTTTGTGTGTATTTTTTATGTTTTTAAAAGTTTGACTCTTACACTGTACCATGAAAATGAGTGTTAAGTCTTTATTTGTATGTAGATTGCTATTTGGATAATTAAGTTGAATATCTTTTGCTTTCCTTGGACTTGATAAAGGATTCAGATTTATAAACATTAAGTATCTTATTGGCTGCTCTTGCAGAGGACCCAGGTTCAGCTCCCAGCACCCACTTGACAGCTAACAACCCTTCAAACCAGGTCCAGAGGATCCGGCACCCTCTTCTGACCTCCAACGGCATTGAATGACATGGGTGCACTTGCACTCATGCAGGCAATACACTCATACACATAAAAATAATAAATAAAAAGAATTAAAATGTGTTGAGACAGTTTTTCTTGGGTCTCTTGCACTTCTGCATGTCTCTGAGCAAAGGTCTTGAGTTTTTGTTCTACTCTGTCTTTACAGTGATATTGTATAGGAAACAGGCTTTCAAAATGGAGAGGATTATGTCTCCTTGCAAGACACTGGGCAGATTTGTTTGCTATTCAAAAATAAAGACAATATCCCTCCCTCTTCTCAGTGGTGACAAAGAATGGCAGGATCGCTAGTAGCCTTTTATAAGACAGTCTGCTCAGTTCAAGGTACCTTAGCTGACACAATCCCCCTGTGTGCTCAGCAGCATTCATCTGAGCCTCTGCACGTTACACCTAGGGGATTTGAGAGGTAAGAGGAATAGCTAAATACATGAAACTCATGCTACCTGCTACCCCTAGTTCACAAAATTTTGTTTCTGAGCTGGGAGTCTGGTGTCTTGTGGCAGTATCTGTAAGACTGTGCAGGCTAATATGTTGTCTTTCAAGCAGTGTAAAATCTCAAGAGTTAAAGACCCTTCAACAGTTCTTGAGAATATGCTATAGCATTTATAACTTAAATATGTTCAATTACCAGAATAATTTTTCTTTACATTAACAAACCTGCCTATTTCTGTATGAATTATGTACTGAAAAATGGTTGTGTGTTGATAATAGAAAAATCATGCTATAATAGCCTTAGAGAAGTTCTTGTAGGTTTTTTTTTTTAATTATGGGGCTTATATTTCATTCCTTTCCATAATCCATGGTCAGCAGCTCAGTTAGATGTGTTGCTGTTCTACAAACATACCTTGTGGCTTTTTGTTTTCTTTTGTGACAGGGTGGATCTTGCTAGTAGCCCAGGCTGACTGCAGACACACTATGTGACCTAGAATAGACTTGAATTTGCAGTCTCTTGGCTTATTCTCCCTACTACCTGTATTGCAATATGCATTACCATGTGTTCTAGTTTGCTTTCAATTGCTGTAACAAAACACTCTGACTAATACCAACTTGGGGAGGAAAGGGTTTATTTGACTTACATCTCCTGGGTCACAGTTCATCAGTGAAGGAGCCCAACATAGGAACTCAGGGCAGGAACCTGGAGGGAGGAGCTGAAGCAAAGACCATGGAGGAATGCTGCTTACCAACTTGTTCCCCTGGCCTGTGCTCAACCTGCTTTCTTATATAACACAAGACCCCCTGCCCAGGGATGGTACTGCCCACAGTGGGCTGGGCCCTTCCATATCACTCAACAATCAAGAAAAATGCCCCACAGATATTGCCACAGGCAAGTCCAATGGGTGCAATTCTGCAATTGAGCTCCCTCTACCCAGGTGTGTCAAGTTGAAAACTAAAACTATTCAGCGCATAATGCCTGGCAAATACATGTCACTTTTACCTTCTGTATCCTTTTATTCTCAAACTATATCCTCCAACATCATCTATATAAAAATCTAGCTAGTGGGCTGGTGAGATGGCTCAGTGGGTAAAGGTGCTTGCTGCTAAGGCTGATGACTTGAGTTCAGTCCCTGGAACTCACATAGTGAAGGAGAACACTGACTCCTGCAAGATGTCCTCTGTCCTACACATACTCTTGTGGCACACACACTCCTTCCCTCTCACATAAACATACATACACACAGAATAAATACATTACCCTCTCCTGTGCTGACATTTCAATTAATGTTCATGATGAGATTGGCCCTCAGTGATCACAAAACCATAGCATTTCAATTTTAATGAAATATTTCTTAAATCAGTGTTTCATTAAGTCATTGTTTTGTAGATCAGCAGATTCCTCAGCTTCATTTACCAATCTATTTTCTTTCCTAATAGGTTGATTGAAAGTAAATATAATTTGCTAACAGGACATTCAGAGCAACAGCTGGGCATGATGGCACACACCAAATCCCAGCACTCCTGAGGTAGAGGCAGGTAGATCTCTGTGAGTTAGGGGCCAGCCTCGTTTACATAGCAAGTTGTAGGCAAGCCAGTGCTGCATAGTGAGACCCTGCCTCAACAACAAAAACACACAAACAAGTGGACTAATGACCTTAATTTCATTAGCATTATCAGTCAACCAACTGAGCTAATTGGATACCACATTGATAATAATGTGTCAGACCGTGTTTGAAAACAAAAGCAAAACCCAAACTCTCAAATAACAACACTAATGACAACAACAAAAACCTTTCAGTACAACAAAAAACCCAGGAGTAGGAGTTGTTTGTTCCATACCATCTTGCTTTTCTTGTCAAGTTTGGAATACTTGTTTCACTGATAATTTTACTTTAGAAGATTATTTATTAGTTGTATCCCATTTCCAGAATCTGAGCAATGATTTATCTAAAGTTTAGTTACGTAATACTAACCCAGTTTTCACTATAGTGAACTAGTTTCATTGGCATAATAGTAGAATTTAATGCATCTGTGGCCCTGTCTTTTCATTAATGTTCCTTAATTTCCATTTCTGAGTCTGCCTTTAGTTTAAGCCTAGCCAACTTAGTGTTCTTCATTTACACCCTCCTTGTTCATTTATCTTTTACTGTTTATGAAATATCTTTCTTTCTCTACCCTAAGACCTGACCTCCACCTGCCTTTCCATTTCTGACATCTCCCCAGGGTGCTTTTCCTCATCTCTTATATCTGACTCTCTCTTTCTATCTTGTCCTAAATAAAAATGATTTAATTTAAGCGACTTTACAAGATGAATGTCATTTAGTGAAATTTAAATTAAAAATTAAAAAGTAGGAAATGGCCTGTGAGAGAGTTCACTTGATAAAGCCCCTGCTGATCAAGACTGGCAACCCTAGTTCAACCCTGGGACCCACTTGGTAGAATGAGAGAACAGATCCCTGCTAGTTTTCTCTGATCTCCACATTGCTGCTGTGGTATGTGTATCCACCATAGTCACACACACACACACACAAAATAAATATTTAAGTAAAGAAAATATTAGTAAACTAAAGGCATTGATTTGAGGAATATCTCTTAGAGTAGTTACCACTCAGCTTCATATTATTTTTTTGATTTTTAAAATTATTTAAATTAAAATTTTTTGAATTGTTGCGATTTTCATACAACATAATTCGATGGTATTTAGATCCCCTCCCCATCCACCTCTACCCATAATATCCCCTGCCCAATTTAATGTACTCTATTATATTTATAATAAGGCCTGTAGAGTCTAATTTGTGTCCCCAAATGTCCTTCAGTGTGGGTTTATTCACTGAACCCTGGTTAACCTACCAAGGGTCCCATGCTTGAAGGAGACTGTCTCTCTCTGTCCCAGCAGCCATTGGTTGCCAAAAGTTCCTTAGGTTGGGTTGGGATTTCTTTCCCACCTCAATATGTCTATGCTTGGATTTTTATTTTTTATTTTTTAAATTTTTAAATTTTTAATTTTATGTGTATCCATGTATTGCCTGCATGCAGGTCAGAAGTTGTTGGATCCCCTGGGACTAGAGTTAGCTGACATGTGGGTGCTGGGATTTGAACCTGAGTCTTCTGCAAGAACAACCAGTGCTCTTAACCGCTGAGCCATCTCTCCAGCCCCTATTTTTATTTTTATTTATTTTATTTTTTTGTTTTTTTTTATGCTGAGATTTTGTGTGATTTGAGCTTACGTGGAACTTGTCATGCTGTCGCCATTGCTGTGAGTTCATATGAGTAACTGACCAGCTGTCAGGAAAACTCTTACTTCCATGTGGTCATCCACCACCTCTGGCTTTTATAATCTTTCTGTCCTGTCTTCCTGTGAGCAGGAAGTTTCAGATAGGTGTCCTATTCAAGGATTTTTGACAAGAACTATATAAAAGAAAACCCCTTCGGTTTTACTGGTTTCCTACGGAATGCCAAGTTTTGTCTTTAGCTGAGAGCTACTGTGTGTTTCACAACCACTCTTTTAGTTTATATCTAGTTCTCTCTTAAGGAGATTATTATAGCAGCCAATCAGCAGAAATTGTTTTTAAAGACTTGTTCCTGAAATGGTCAATCCTTTCTATATAAATTAAATTTACTGTGTAAATAAAATAAACAGAGATGTCAGTTTGTTTTCTGTATGTAGTGTCATAATAAGAAAATATTCTATTTTCACACAGTTATATTTTTATAGTCAAACAAATGCTTCTGCTAATATGTATGTATTTTTGTTCTGTCTACTTATGGTTTGAAAAGTACATAGTCCTTAATAAATTTGGATAGTTTCTCCAAATCTAGAAAGATGTTGTCAGGTTATATAGGTGGAAGAATAGTCTGGTGGGGCAGTTTATAAAAAGAAAGTCTTTAGTGCATGGATATTGGGAGTTTAATACCAAGAAATAATGTTTTGTGAGACTGAGTCAGAAAGAATGGAAAAGCCCTCGTGTTAA